ATCCCACAAGGCCGCTGCGGCGGAAGCAGGAAGTCAGGGGGCTGCGTGGGAACCAATGGGAAGCCAGGGTAGGCGGGGCTAAGGGCGCGGAGGCAGGACGGTTAGGCGAGGGAGAAGTGGAGCCAACGGGCAGACGCTGTGGAAAGGGGCCAAACAGGAGGAGCCAATGGGAGGCCAGGTAGGTGTGGCTTACATGGCGAGACGCCATGTTGGGAGCGCGGTGGGGCGGTGGAGCACGGGGAGGAGTGTTGCCCTCGCTCTGCCTCAGTTTCCCCGTCCGTCCTGAGGGAGGCCCGGAGTTGTTTGCCGCCCTCAGCACCGGCGCCTCAAGGAGAGAATAGATAAATCGATCGAGCTGTATATATATGTGTATATAATGGATGGATAGCTCGATATAGCGGCGTTTCATTTTAATCATGGAAAAATGTGGATTTGGAAAATGTGGAAATCATGGAAAATGTGGATTTGGAGTTAAAAAAGTAACTGAAAACCGGGGTGTTTGTCCTAAACCAGAGGCAACCGGGGTCCCTGGTGATGGGTCTGACTCGGCGCAAGCTGTGGAGAGACGCAAAGGCCGGGCCGCCGCGTCCACGTGGGCTGGCGGCAGAGCCACGCGAAGTGGAGCACAGCGGGTCTTTCCCCATCGCCGTGCCTGACAGACTAGCTCCGTTTAGCTTTGAGTTTGTAATTTAGTTAGTCTCGAAGGTGCCGTTCTTCTTCGCCTTCTACCTGGCTGCTAACTCCCCGCCGCTGTCCTCCCCGGCGTGCCGCAACGCGGTCCCCCGGCTCCGTCGTGCGGTCCAGCTGGGAAAGACCGCCTGTTATCGAAAGCATTCGTTCCTGTGAAACCCCGGATGCGCTCCTTGCTCCCAGCAGCAGCAGCAGCCAAGGGAGGTTTCCCCTCCGAATCTCCTTCTCCCGCTGCTTTCTCTCCCAGGTCTTTGAGCGGCAGAGTCTGTCTGACGCTTGCCATTTTTACACGCATTTATATTCCCATTCAAATCCCCGTGAGGTTCAATGCACTCCCGTCTGCGGTGCATATCCATCAATTTAGGATTGTCTTTAAAGTAGCAAATAGGAACTGTTGGGGGAGTGACTGTCATCAACATTTCGTGTCGCTCGCTTAGTGCCGTCTCACGCAAACCTCACGCTTTTCTCTCTCGACCCGTTATATATAAGTTGTTTGTAACTGACTTAGGGACTCATCAACACGGAGGAGGGGGAAACCTCATTTAAAACCATTATGTTCATTGTTGTTGGAGACAGTCTCGGTGGGAACAGAATTGACCCGTCTTGCCTTTTAGTCTGGATCCTTTTTAGTCTCTTGACTTCCTTTTGCCATTCAAAGCATGATTTTTATAGCATCTGGGGACCAACCGTGATCCCTCTGTGGCCAGAATAGCAACTCCACAGTGCTTAGCTTCTAGTAAATTGGGTGTTCATTTGATCTATGGGTTTTGCACAGAAGTGAGCCAGAATTTGGGATGAAAGACTACAATGAGCAACTCAGGAAATAGAGGTGGCCAAAAGAGGAAGGGTGAGGTGCAGGTCCCCTCCCCGGTTTTTAAGAGGCTGGAGTTTCACCCAAAGGGGCTTTTTCTGATTCTTTCGTTACAAGCTGGGAGTGCTATGGGCTGGCCTGCAGGGCAGTACGGACGGCGGTGAACAGCTGGTGTCAGCACAGAGCGCAAGTTGAAGCCGTGCCGCACGCTTGCAGAGCATTTTGCTGCACTGTTTCCTGATAGGTGTTTGTAGCAAGTGGCTAAAAAGCAGAGCTCAGTTAAAGCACCTTGCAGAGGTGCTTGAGGGATGAGTTCAAGCCTTGCTTTGATCCTATCCCCAAGGCTGCTCCCCAGCTGCAAATGGGGACCCAGTTGTCTGGGAAGTCAAAGGTGGCTGGAGATCAAACTAGCCACACTAGGCTTGGGCAAGCCGTTCTCTAAAACCAAGTTCTCAAGTGAACACCTCAACAGGGGAAAAAGTCCAATTTGTGTTGTAGTTGCTGAGGAAATTGAGCAAATCCTTTAGTGAATCCCGGAGTCTTTGCCACCTACTGGCCTTCTTACACACTTACACACACACACACACACACACACCTCCCCAGCAAGCTGCGCATATTCACACTGTGTGTGAATCAATTTTGCATCCAGCTTTATTTTAAAAAGAGGTGTTTTGCTGGCACTGAAGTGAGCAAGTGGTCATGAATCCTTCTGCGCTGCTGCATTCATGGGGATAAAGGATCTACTAGATCCCAGCACGTTCCAGGGATCTGGTTTGTAAACGATTGATTAGCTGAGATGAAGTTCCTTACACTCTAGTGATGCTCGTGTAAGTCGCATACTGCATGCATACCATAGGTCATTCCCCGTCTATGATGTGGGAGGAGCGGCAGGGTGGGGAATCGCTCTGAACCTTTCCGACTCCCTCTGGCAACCCATTTCCACCCTGACCTGTAGCAGCCCATTGCTATTCCTGACTTGGGACCCCCTACAGCTCTGACCTGCAGCCTTCCCTGCTATTTCTATCCTATGCCTCCCATGCGCTTGCCAGTCATGCTCAATTGTGCCAAAACGTATAGCTATTTTATGCATTGGACAGTTGTCCACTGAGGACTCGGCTGAAACCACGTGATTGACTGGCACTTAGGAGCTGACCTCAAACAGCATTTGAACTGAGGCTTCCTGAGATGAGTGCTGCTGCTTTAACCACTGAACAATTGATCGTGCTGATCGTACAATGTGCCCGTTGTCCAGACAGGGAAGTTATTAGGATCTGGTCACTTTGGGGCAGTATTGAAGGAGCCTTGGGGCTAGCTGCTATATGGGGTGGGAACCTCTAATTTTAAACAGTCTTCCACAAATGTTGCCATTGCTGTGCACTCACTTGTCTTTTCTGATCCACTGCTGTCTCTAGGCAGCTGGGTTAGCAATTATACGTGAATGAAGAGAGGTGTGCTTCCATGTGCCCATGTGGGGATACCAGTGGACCAGGGCTCAGTGAAGCTGACTCCACCTGCTCCCTGGGGCAAGTCGCTAAATCTGTGATTCAGATTTCCCATCATAGGAGGAAAATAATCCTTCCCATCTGTCTGCCCCTTGGGGTCCCTTATTAGGTGCATACAGAGTACCTAAGAGATTCGCCCATCTCAGTTAGGGCCTGTGGGTGCTATGGCAGTGCGCACACATAATTTCTCATCTTCTTGGGACTCTATTGATTGCGTGAAGTTAATCTTGATTTATACCACTGGGTAAAGGAAGAGAGAGAAACCAGGATGTGGTTTTGTGCCCTCAGTTTTGAAAGACTCTGGCTTTCTTTTTGGCTGAGAGAAGTCTTAGCAGCTGATCTCCCTCTGCATTCATTGCCGGTGGAAAATGTAATCATTGCACTGTGAAAAAAAATGCGTATGCATAAGTCATTGCCACTTGTTAGGAATCACAGTGGGAATTTGACCTGGGCTCATTATGTGGATGTTCTCATCTAATCAGCGCAGTCATTGCATCACAGGTCAGCTATGTATGTCTCCTGTTTGCTTTGGCTGAAGGGCACTGAAAACATTTTGCACAAATTGACAAGCATAATTAGACCCTTCATTTGGGAGGAAGAATATGTGTGACAAACGGTTCTATCTTCCGAGATGGGGGAGAAGGGAAATAACGCAAGCCCGATCTGGGCCTCTGGGGGGGGAGGGTACCGGGTGAGCCCCCGGGGTGAGAAGTCATCACCCCAAGCTGGGTTTGCATTTCACATATTTTAGGACACTTCAGCTGCTTCAAGTTAAAAGTGGTCGGGCACTCGAGCAGGATCGTAACCCTATCCCGCAGCACAACAAAGACAGGCGGGTTTGGAGCTGACCAGCTATGTGGTGCATCTCCAGACCATCTTCACTCCTAGCGGCTGGCAGGTTACCAACACACAAGGCCGTACCATCAGGTGACCCTCCCTGGCAGTGTCCTGACTGAGGGTCTTGCACTCTGAAAGCCATTTATTATCCTTTGAGCACCTTGGGACTAAATTTAATCTTGGCGCTGGGCATCGGTGGCATGATCATCTGCGACGACGCTGCCTTCCTGCATGCCCCAGCTTTATGGGGGCTGGAGCCTTCCCTAGTTACACATCATCTAATCTGATACCCGCTGTTCTTCTAACTTGATATCCTTGCTGGATGCCTTGGGATTAGCCCTGTCTCTACTCTGGATGTCGACAATTCTTTGCACAGGCAAATAGTGCCTCTCACTTGAGGATCTCAAAGCACTTTCCTCCCCCCTTATGAACGATGGGGAAACTGAGGCACAGAGAGATTTATTCACAATCATGGGGCAAATCTACAGCAAAGCTGGGAACAGAACTGCGCCAGCAGCAACTCTGGTTACTTGCACAATTTGGACCCCTTTCCTGGGGGGGTCTGGAGTCACAGGAAGCCTGCAGCCAGAGAAGAAGGAAAGGATCTCGGTATATCCTTTCCTGCTTGGTGCAGGTGGCTGGACCCGATTATCTTCCAAGGTCCCTGCCGGTCTTATAGTCTGTGAATCTAGATCCAACAGTGCAGAGGAAATTAATTTCCATGCAAGCTCCAAAAAGGGGAGATTTGCTTCAAATGAATGAGGCCTTATGACCGTCCCATAGGAAACCATCGGTTGCCAGCAAATTCATGCTTACCACCTAACCTGGAATAGCAAGTGCAGAGAGAGGACACAGCTGCTACAGCGCAGTGGTTCTTAACCTTTTTAGGCTCAAAGCGACCTCCATAACTTTTCTAGCACCCCAGTTGAAAAGCCCTGTTATAAAATCTTAGCTTACCCACTTTATCTCCAGGCCATCGTGCCACCATGACCGGTGGAACTGCCCCGTGTGCCTCGGTCCAAGGAAGCACATGCAGTGCCAGGCTGGAAAGTGGCTGTGGTGGCCCTTGAAAGGCTGTCATGTCATCCTACCTGGGCACTGCTGTGCTAGAGCAATTCATCCACATCCTGCACGGCAGGTTGCAAAGGTTTGATTGTTTGCTTAGCTTTCACTCTACCCCACAAACCATCTCCCAGCGACTGGGGCTGTTGGGGAGGATAGAAGAGTCACCATCTGGCTTCCTTCATGTCTCTCTCATCCTTTCATCACTCGACTCCCCTCCTATTCTGCCTCCCACCTCCCTGGTGGTGGGTTTTGAATGGAAAGCAGCTCGTTAAAATGCTATTTCCAAAGGGCCGTTTTGGACTTCTCCCCACTGGACCAAGGTTTGAGTAACATCAGACGCAGGTTGTGTTGCTTACTTCAGACTCGCATGTGGTCTTGGCTCCTTTCGCTCTGCTGACCTTCAGCCGACCACTTGGCTACCTTGCCTGACGTGTAACCAAAGACTGCCCATAGGTCGGAGCAGCGCTTGCTGTAAGCCCCAGATTTGCTTTCTGTTACACATGGCTGGAGATGTCAGAAAAAAGGTATAGACTCCAAATGGAAGGGCTTTATCTTTTCGACTTGCTTCAGGCCTTGGAAGAGCCATCAAAAATCCGTGCTTAGCATTTCAGAGAAATCAGCCCTGAAGTCTAGCTATGTGCTATACAGCTTGCATTACACCGAGAACGGAGGCCAAACTCTCCGCTGAACTGCACCTTGTCTGGTCACGTACAAGACTTAGAAGTGCTGCCAAGGTGGAGCCGTTGAGTTTTCCTCCTGCTTTGTATCGGTGTGAGGGACTGTACGAGGAGCAGGGCAAAAAGGCCCTTGAAATCTGTTTTAGACACAGAACAAGAGTGTAGGGAGGGACATTGAGAGATCAGCTGGTCCAGAGCTCAAGGCAGCCATCCCTGTCTGAACTGTCCTCATCGAACCTGCATTTAAAAGCCTTCTGTGATGGAAATACAGAACCTCCCTAGGCCGTCGGTTCCAGTAATTAATAATCTTCATGGTTAGAAATTGTTTCTAATATCTAACCTAAATCTCCCTGTTGCAATTGAAGCTAATTAATTCACATCCTGTCCCCCGTGGACACAGGGAACAACTGATTGCCATCCTCATTATAACAACCCTTTTTTGTATTTAAAGATTGTTGTCAAACCCCACCTTGGTCTTCCCACCTACCCCTCCTGTCGCGTTTCTAGATCTCTGAGCATTTTTGTCGCTCTCCTCTGGACTCTGTTCTGTTTAGCCACATTTTTTTTTTTTTTTTTTTTTTTTTT